AAAGTCTGTTCTGTCCAGTCCTTAGTCTGAACATAATACATTGTCCCTCTCTATAGAGGCAATAAAAAATAAAGCGAGTCTTGAAGAAAGAATATGGTGTTTATATCCAGCCACCTTTCTTGGATACTAGATTGCATTAATCTCTTAGTCTCTTGGTGGGTTAAGTCAATCCATCAAACGTGATTACCCATATCACTGCTTTTGTCCCACTATATGACCAAGCCATTCAGATATTTATATCTGACCCTTGCCCTTATTTTTTTTCCTACATCAATTGTGCTAGTTCTCAATCTATTCCTTGTCCTGACATGTCAAAAGCACCAACTGTCTACCTCTAATTTTTATCATCGGTATTTGATTTTCATGTCTCTCAAAAAGAGTGGCCTCTGCCAGTTTTGCTATCATTCCATATTGTTTTTATTCTTCTAAAAAGCAACCACATCTCCTTAACACTTTCAATGTAAAAGACAGAAAACACTGCAATAAGCAACATAAACAAAATGTCAACAATCTGGCAAAATAAACTAGAAGTTGCACATCATTATATGTTGTTTAATAACAAACTGTCATCAAAACACTTTAAACTATCATACATATGATACAACATACAACTATGAAAAGAGTGTAATTTGTAACATAAGCAATAAAAAAAAACTAGTACAATATGATGTACTAAAAAAGTGCAGAGAAATTTTGAGGTACAAGAAAGTTTCAATATATTCAACATGGACTGTTGTTGGCTAGCACAGTATTAACAGTAGAATATTTCTGAATTATAGTTCATGTTATCCTGCCTACTATCTCCACGAATGGCTAACTTTTCCTACCTCGGTGGCCCCAGGCATTTGTAGGTCTGCCTGTAGATTACCTCTCCAACGTCTTCTTGGTCTGCCTCATGGTCTTCTCCCATTCAACTGTTCTGAGTAAGCATTAATAATCTACCACTACAATAAATATTGCAAATAATTAGAATAATGACCTGACACAGACATGAATATTGCACACTTGTGAGGGTCACCACAATACTTCTAAATGACTATTTCTGATCCAGACATTCATAGGTTCTAGAGGTGGCCAAATAAAAAACCATCATTCCAAAAGTTGGCAAAAACACTTTTTGAAAATATCAATCTAAACATTGGCAAATGCTACAGAAAATAGCATTTCAAACATTTGTTGAATACTAAAATATTAAACCAAATGAGTAGTAAAACTAGTCAGCTTCACAATATCACAATCAAGAACAGCTAATGAATGTTGCAGCTAAAGATCCTTCATCAGCATACAATATAAACAATGATGCAGTTACAAACAAGAATACACAAAACCACTTATGTGTAAGTTAAGGTCTTGTTACAGAACAGAAATATCCATAACATGGCTGAACAGTAGAAACTCTGAGTACATAACATGTATAATGCAGGATGAGGATACTAGAAGGAAGTAGTAAGCCAGAGGTAGGATGGTTGGTTAGTGGCAAGGAACGTCATTTGAAAATTTCTAGATAAAGCTGTATTGCAGGATACAGAAAGACCATATCTTATTCTGCGTTCATCTGAAGACAAAATTGTGTTTTGCTCATTTATAGTATGGCTGCGATATTAGTGCCTTTTGACCAACACACCCAACTTCTGCAGGCATTTGTTGCTTGGGTCAGCTTTGTGGGACACTGCAGTCTCATTGTTGTGTGGTCATCTTTGCTTCCAAAGTCACAGGTGGTGCTCCACATCAGGCTGGTCCAGAGAAGCCAAGTAATGATGATCAGCCCTTAGAGAAGGCAGAGGCAGAACACCCTGCCATTCCAAGGAAGCTTCCATAATGCAGAATCAGTACATGGTGCTCTGGTACTGGGCTCACCCAAGGAATCATCTTGCCCTGTTCATGACTGTTTAACCTCACTTCCGTATATTGGACATCTCATTCATCACAAGCTGTCGTTAAAATTCAGCAGTAGGCAGCCTGCAGACCTGGGATTTCGATACCTACATAAATGATTACTTTGTTTCTTTTGCATGCTCTTTTTCTGCAGTGGACTTCTGCTTCCACCATAGTTTTATTTGACATTTCCCACATAGATGCCAAGGGGCATTTAGTGTAGCAGTATTTCAGAAGCATTTCTGCTGCAGTTCTCAATGCCTCTGCTCCAAAATTACTTGTGAATTTTTCGGGTTTCAAACAATTGTATTTTCTTTAATTCAGTTTTCAGATTCAGGACAATATCCCGACCTCAATTTTCTGTTGAGTTTTTTTGCGGATCTCAAGTACAAGCATGAGTCCAGGTGTTACTTAGGTATTGTTCTTCTATGTTGTGTTATGTGATTTTCCTTCTTTCTGTTTCATTCTGGGTCTTCTTTCCTCAATAATAGGAAATTTAAAAATCATCTCAGGAAAGTGCTGCCATCTCTAATCAGGGAGCCCGTGCGTTATTTGGACAGGTTTAGATGATATATTAAGTATAGGATCATCAATGACCTTATTCTTTTGCAGTCTCTACAAACATTTTTTCTTTCACTTTAGTCTTTCCTGTTCAAGACTATATAATCTGTTATACATCATAGCCTTTTGAAAGGCTAAGTTCTTTGTCTGATTACAGGTTCAGGAATAGCCACACCTCTCCACAGATGTGGGACTCAAGTACTAGTAGGGTGCACCCCTGGTTTTCTTGGAGTTGAGTAAATTGGTGCCATCTTCAAGAATAAAACAGGAGATAGTGTAAACAAATTCTCAGTAGAGTTACAGCTGATGAACACGCAGAAGAAGAAGAAGTAGAGGTACCTTAGGGTGGCTGCTGAATTAAAGTACTGAGCACGCATGAGAATGTCCAATGTGCAGTGAGATTGATGTGATAACATGACATAGCCCTGTTTGGTTTCCGTGCTTAGAGAATAGAAGGAGAGCTCTGCAACAAAGATGGTACTTCAGTATTGGGACTGGAGAAAATCTCTATACCAGCTTTGTCCTGATAAAAGCATGCTCTTTTCATAGCTGAGATTACCAGAATAGCTGAGACAGCCAATCCAGCTGGCTGAAGAGTCACAACTCAAGTCATGCAGAGAGAGAATCCAGTCAACAGGGCCTGATACTTTCCCCTTTTCTATTCTCTCCTCCCCCCCCCCCCCCCCCCCCCCCCCCCCCCAGAAAAAAATAAAAATGTCTGTGTCGGTTCTGATGCCCAATTTCAGCAGAAAACAGAACAGATCTACTGCCACACCCCCCCCTCCCCTTTCCCCCAAGCAAGTTGACTTTGCTGAATACTGGATGTATTGGGCCAATAGGCATAAATATCGCAGTCTAGCTATAAATCACAATGCCACCCATCCTTTTAAGGGCAAGCGCACAAGAAAAAGTATCTCACACACAAAAATAACAATGTTCTTAAATAATAAATATTTGAGCATGAATGAATTAATAATAGTGTGGAATAAATGACTTGTAACAATGTGAAAAAAGTGGCTTAAAACAATAACTAGAACAGAATGAAGAAAATAATTTTGTGTACACAAATATATATTCCACTGAAAATATAATGCAGAGCTATTCAACAGCTGACCTGTTAGAGAACTGCAGCCTGCAGAAGCACATAAAATATCCTGCAGATCACTGCCAACTCTAGTGTGTTAATGACCTGTTTAACGCCGGGGCATGGATCTCTAGCCCGTGATAATTTCCACTGTCAATATTTTGGCCCCCCAGTAAACATGGCTGAATGGCCCTGATATAATGTGTCTGGTATATAAAGAGTTAAAGTTAAGATGAGAGAATTATCCCCCAGCAATCTCAGTTAACTTCCCATTTCCTAACTTTGATTTTAATTCTTTAGGAACAAGAATACAGTTACATTAGTTATAAATTACTGCATGATGTTTTCCCATGGTATTGAACAAGTTAAAAAGCATAAAACTGTCTTCACTGCCTGAATCCACCTTTGTTTAGAGCGGTGCAAGATGGGGGTCTTGAGCTTCAGAAAAAAATAAGGCTTTATGGCCAGTGCTGTCACCAGGAACTCTGCAGTTAGGAATTTTTATTTTTGTTCCTACTGAGATTTTGAACCTGGGTCTCGCGAATGACGTCTGACGATCTCTCTGGAAAACCTCTACACCCAAAAGGTAGCAGAGGATCGACTAAGTAAAGTAGAGTATCCTGAATGAGAACCCAACATCCTTAACCATTTGGCCAGCCACTCCTATTTGAATAAAAGCATTTTAATTATCACCTTCAGATTCTTTAAAATCTTTCCAAAGCAAAGCTAATTTTTTTTATGAGGTAGCAACAATGGTTGTCTATCCCTCATATAAAAAATAAAATATGATCACTCAAATCCTCCCTCTGTGATCTATGCAAAGGTTTCATGCTAAGAGGGTGCATTAACTCATGAGCAAATATAAATGAATGAGGCATTTATTGTTACCGATCACACCTCATTCATCATAACTAAGAAACAACAGCAATGACTTTTTTTGACTGTGGCCACAGTGTGAGTAAGCAATCTTGTAATCAAAATGACAACCAATAATTTAAGTCTTAATTTGTTGCTTACTATGGACTAAAAGTCTTTTTCGTAGATCCTTACTTTAATTATAGATGCGCGACAGAGCATAGACTCCATAGCTTTAACAATGACTTGAATTGCTGGTTCTGCACCACTTTTTGGTCAATTGATGCATGGCAGATGTAGTCAAGACCTTTTGGAAGCATGCATATATCATCATGGTCTAGAGAGAATGGTGCTGCAGGGAGTGACTTGGGGACTTGGCTGACACTTAACACTCAAAGGAAAGGCAAGATGAATACATAATCAGACCTGTTACTGGTCCCATCCAAACTGCAACACAGTGCTGGCTGCTGAAGATGGGGACAGAGGGCTTATAAGAATGTCCTGAGTGCTGCGATGTCAGTTCTTAACTCGATCTACTCCCTTTGTCCCAGCCCAAAATGGGGTCCTGGCACCCAAACGGGAAACTAACTGAATAATTGTGTTCCTAACACAACGCTTGTGTACACTAAAAGTCTCTCCGTAGATCCTTACTTTTCCTATAGTCCCCACAATAAGGAATCTCACTGCTAATGCATTCCTTGAGGGCCTTGGCTGCATGTTTCTGCTGTAGCCAGTGAGCACTCCAATAATCATTTAATGGGGGTTCCTTACCATACTTCCCAGATTCATCAAATTTCATTGGTTTTGGGCACCCATAATGATCAACATTTGCTTTCCACTGTACAGTTTCTTCCCCTCGGCTAACCCTCTTCAAATTTTCATGCACCCGCTTACAAATAAAACACTCAAAGGCTTCCACAAAGTTGACATGGTCTGGAGTCCATGTCTTGTCATCATCTGGCGACCAGACACGAGTTGATAAGATATTGTGAAGGAGCTGGTTTGAGACCCCAGTATCTTTCCAGCGCTGAAGTTTGTCATATTCCATGTCTTTATTATTCAGATACTGTAAATGTTTAGCTAGATGTTCCGCTGAATTAAAGTCTGTGATCACCAAGGCAGATGTATTGCTGGGTAGAAAATCCTGGACAGAGAGGTAAATTAAGTGTGAGTTGCAAGTCTCAGTGACAAAATATCTAAAAATATATTAGCTTTTTCATGAGAAAGACAGTACAGATTTATCTTATATTATCCCTGCATAGTGGCAAGCATCCCTTCAGAGGTCCCGGTAGTTGGTGTCCTTTGGATATTTTCTCCAGGTTATGTGGGTGTATTGGGAAAAAAGCAGGCTGATATACTGGTCAGTTTTGCACTACTTGGTGGTGAATTGATGTAGGTCAAGCTAGATGTTGTGAGGGCCCTTTGGGAGTGAGTGAGCAGTGCGGAGACACAAACAGATCATCACGAACAGAGGAGAATGGCGAGGCTGAGAGTTACCAGGGGATCAGGCCGATGCTCGACACTCAAGGGAAAGGTTAGATAGATATACAATCAGACAGTTACTAGTACTATCAGATTTGGAACTTAGCTTGCTGCTGAAGATAGGGACACAGCGCTTATGGAGAGTGTCCCAAGTGACGTGATGTCAGTTCTTAATTCAATATAATGTGGTGAGGCCTCAAACTCGTCTGGCAGAGAGTGGCCGATATCAGAGAGGCAAAAACTGCAAACTAAAGAGCTAAATGGGAGCAAAACAATTAGTAGATCAAGAAAATGGAGGAGATAATTTACAGAAAGGTTAAAGTCGAGAGGATCGTCTTAATTGCACCGGGTTTTATCCCAAATGGCTCAGCCTCTCTCCGCAAAAACGGCCACATGCCGAGAGCGCTGCACAGAGCAAAAACTCTTTAGCTCCAGTGATGATCCCCAGGGATCTCCGTAAAAATTGCACTCGTGAAATGAACTGCACAGCAAGGAAACGAACATATGACCTTCAGAGTGCAAGGCAAACAGCTTGACAACTTCGCCACAGAGACCCCCAAAGAGAATATACACAGATAATATACAGGCAGACCTATGAATACTTGGAGTGACAACTGGAAGATGACTGGAGTTGGTTGGTATCTGCAGCAATGAATGTCAATGGCTTGGCATACTCAAGAAGAAGGTTTCAAACTCTTCCATGATGTGACTTTTCTGCCACAACCTGGAAGCCGTGAGAATGTACCTTATTTACATATTTCATAATTAGGGGAAAACCACGGGGTAGACAAAAATTGACATATCAAATTTTAATTACATAAGTAGTAAACATGGTAGTTTTTCTAGTCATCTGTGAAAAGTGTACAAAATTCTACTTCATTTTAAAAGTCAAGAATGAACATGTATTCTATTTTGGAATACGTGACTTTTGTTAGTTTATAAATCAACACTATTATTCCACATATTTGTCAAAATAACCTACTACATCATAAACTGATTCTTTCCTAGGCATTTTTCTGGCAAATTATGCTTCAGATATTCCTATATTTCTTATGACATTTTTCTGCCCTATTCAGTTGCATATATTTATTTACTCCTATAAATGAGACACTAATTTTGCCATGTTATGTCAGATATTACTTTACACATTACAAGTCAGACATGAATTCTGCCCCATATATTACTTTGCTCCTTAAAAATCAGACATCTATTCTGCCTGATTATGTCTTATATATTTCTGTACTCATAAACCAGATGTTTATTTTGCCACGTATAAGTCTTCGCTCCATACAAATCAAAAATTTTTTTTTATTTTTTTTTTTTAATTTGTGTAGAACACACCAGAAAAAAAGAGGGTTACACTACTGACCTTAACTTTTGGTGACCCGAACACAACCGGAACTGCCCCAACCATTAAAGGTCGCCACAGTTTCTCAGTGATGTAGTCGTCACACACAGCATTCTCCATGGCCAGCACAAATTTGTAGTGGGACAGGAGCTCATAGAAGTCCTTATGGGCCATCCCTTCCAATGGAGACATCAGTCTGGGATCAAACAGAGAAATATGATCTTAACTTCTGACAACAGCAGTGGCTCTAATAAGTAAAGAAAGGAAAGGACTCATGCCTGTGGCGCTTCAGACATAAGATGTTGTTAGACTCATATGTGTACAGAACTCGTCTCAGTTTTAGGCTGGGTCGACCTGGAAAATCCAACACATTTAAAACAAAATATTTAAACAATTTGCCTTAAAGTGGATTAAAACCCAAGACCTTCTTGCTGGCAGGCGAGCATCTAACCACCAGGTAACCATGCTCCCTGTCTACATTATGCTGCAAAACCTTTGTGACAGTGGCCACTTATAAGAAGACTACACAAAGCACAAACTCTGCAGCTCCAGCAATGGCTGCACATGAACCAAAAGAATTAGTGTGAAATCAAGCATGCAATGTTCAGAGCACGAGGCAAAAGGTTTAACTACTTCATGAATGGAGATACATAGGGACATTGCTACACAGTCAGAAAGAGCTATGGACATTTGGAAGTTAAGAAAACAACTTATGCTTCACAAATCAAAAAGAAAGGTTTTTTGGGTGAAACAAGCAAACCACTACCTTTTTACCCAGAAAATAAGCCCTAGCATGATTTTTCAGAATGCTTAGAATATAAGTTGTACTTCATATATAAGCCCTAGTTAAGAATGTCAGCCAGACAGATGGATTTCACTTATCCGTGTAAGCACACCACAGAGACACTGAATTAAGGCAGTAATGAATGTATCAGTAAATATAAATAAATAATATTAATGACATTATTTCTTTCCATAAAATGCTTTATAAGTCATAACTTTTATAGTGGCTTCAATCGAGAAAATAGTCAGGGCGCAGGAATGAGTCCACAGGAACATACACAACAGAAGTTTCCATCAGGTCATTCAAGATAATGTAGATAGTGGTGTCACAGTAAGGCAGAATTAGAGGTACAACAACTGACAGATGAAAGCATAGAAAATGTGGCATGCTGAAATTGGATATGCTGGGCCAAAATGAACAGATATTAAAACAATGTGCCAGCAGCCCTTTTAAGGATGAACACAAAAGATAAAGAAGAAGCTTACTTTTGTGGCAGCTGCTTATTGTTCAAACAGGTACCATAGGAATCCACTGGGATAAACTTCATTAGCTGCTTCACAAACTCATCTCTATCTGATGGAGGGTTACAGTCAGATTGCACATAGACCACAGGGGCCAGCCCTTCCTTCTCTTGATATCTGAAAAATTTAGACAACATAGAAATAAGTCAACAAAAATCAGCCCTAGAAATCAACAAAGCCAACCAAGGATTATAACAAGGACATAATAAATCCACAATTTTAATGACACAACATTAGTAAGATTATGTTAATAGTACAAGTTATATCTTAATCATCATCAATTTCCACTTCTGCCAATAAGTGTTGTGTTGGGGGTGGGGGGGGGGACTGAGGGGGGGAGTTTGTGATCCATTGCTTGAAGGGCAGCAATAGCTTTTGTCATTCTGTATCTATATACACATATATATATATACACACGCACATATTTACACACACACACACACACATAAATATATAAGTAATTTGTTGGTTTTTTAAAAATTTCCAAATATCTTCTTTCTCATTCACTAGAGGGTCGTAACTTTGCGGTACCTGTTTACAGCATTGCTTCCCCGTGTGGTTTCCTGGGGCATCATTGTTAGGAGAACAGACCCACTGCCTCTCCAACAACCATGTCATAAGAGTCGACTAATTGGGGGCTTCCAATGAAGGAGTGCACCAGCCTAAGAGGCAAGGAACCAACAATCTGTATACAATTAAGTCAAATCTGTTAAATGGATGTGAACACAACATTTGGGTCCTGGAGCAAGACTAAACTCCAGAGGTGGACAAATAACCAGAACTTTCCGCCGCAATTTACAGCCAGTGAACGCAACGAAAAAAGAAAGAAGACAGCACAGCTGCAGTATTTACACTTTTCAACTGAAACATCCAACTTTATTAAGCATTTGCTGTCTGGATCAGCCTTTCCAGTCCCAAATTACTTTTATTACAGTTAAAAATACAAAATTAAAAAAATAATGAAGATTAAATGAAAAAAGACTGGTCCTATCCTCAAAAGGACACTTTAGAATAAAAAGACAAAGATATGTTCATCATTACAATAATATTGGAGAAAAGCAAGAACCAGCAGGTTCTCTATAAGGAAACCAGCTACTTAGTAAAGGCAGTTTGTACTCTCCTTCATTCTTAGAATGCTGTCCCTGCTTGCAGCCTCATTTACAGACTAAGCACTAGAAATAAACAGCATGAACCACTTGCCTGTTTTTCTGACTTGTAGATTTGGTGTATGTGCTCTGCTGTAGCCACTCTAGAGACAAGAGGTGTTGAGTCGTGATCGGGAAATCGGACTCTCTCCTGAGAATACAACAAGCAGTTCTTAACTAAGTAGAAGCTTAATTTCCTCTTCTTTTCTGGCAAATGAAAGCGCAAAAAAATAAAATTTGGGACAGCACATAAAGTAAATATTGCCAAAGACATTTGTCAAAATAGTTTGTTTTAAAGAGGATTCTGAAACAGATAATTGAAGCACACATACTTGCTTTCAAATTATATTAGACATCACTTGTCAGTAGATTTACTAATGATCTTTAATAAAATTTCCCTGTGTGGGTTCCAGGGCCACACTGTGGGGGAAAGGGGAAGGGGGGGGGGGAGGTGACGGGAAGGGGAAAGAACAGACCCACTGCCCCTTAACAAGCATGTCATAAGAGTTTAATAATTAGAGATGTTTCTTTAAAGGTTGGAGTATATTGTCTGAAAGATGAGGAAAAAACCACACAGAAAAGCCAGATCTGTAAAACAAGTGTGCAGGCAAAACTGAGGTTCTAGTAGAAAATTAAAGCCCAGACATGAAAGAACAACCAGAACTTTCCGATGGAGTTTACAGCTGGTGAATGTGAAGAAGAAGAAGACATGAGCAACTAGCAGCTAGATGCTTCGCTGCTGCCCATGAAAGATGAAAACTAGCACGAAAATACAACTGATCATAAACAAGTTGACACCATATTTTTTAGTGTGAACTGGATAAGAATCTAAGCTCCTTTGAGTGATAGAAGGTAGAAAGAAAAAGGAAAAAAACTAAACTCAAAATATAAGAAAATACAAAGAACTAAAGGGAATATTTATTAGATATCTAAGGTGTTAATAATGCTGGCAGAAAATATACAAACTACTACTAAGATTAAGAAACCGCTGTGGTGTAACAGCTAGGCGCTCGCCAGCCGATCCAAAGGTTGTAGGTTCAAATCCGTATGGAACCAAATTTGTTTTTCAAGTATGATCTTCGCTCCCAGATCGACCTACCCTTGGGTACCGATTAAAGTCCTAGGAAGTAAAAGCTGTTGGCACAATGTTCACTACATCACCTGTCAATAAAAATATGAGTCTAGCCTCACATGTGGACGTGGTACCGGCATGTAAAGGGACCTTTCATTTTGTGTGTGTGTGTGTGTGTGTGTGTGTGTGTGTGTGTGTGTGTGTGTGTGTGTGGTGTGTTTGTGTGCGTGACTTATCAAGTTTCAGAGTTCAATTCTGCAAGAAGAATATTACCGGCTTCACTTCTGTACATGAAGCCATTTTGTTTTTATGCATGTAATTGTTCATCTATGTATGAGTTTCAAGGTACTTGTACATCACACATGCCATGCTGGAATGGACAAGCCTTAAACATTTTTATTAAATAATGTAAAGTTAAACGCTTATTGTCCTCATTGCTGACTGAACTGTAGTTGACGACACTCAGGGAACTTACCGGAAGGTGCTCGTATGGTTAAACAGGGAAAGAGCATCTTCATGACAAAGCAAAAAGTTATTTTTGGGAGATTCTTCATGGAAGAGGGCCCACTCATGATGTTGGCGTCTGGGCAGTGGTAGGTCTTTCTGGCTGAAGTCAGTACCGTAGAATACAAACACCTGTTACAGACATACATATGGATGGTTCGCTGAGGTGTGACAGACAGATAGTTTACTTAATGGACAAGGCTATTAACTCTTTCACAACCAAACAGACATACATATGGATGGTTCTCTGAGGTGTGACAAATAGATAGTTTACTTAATGGACAAGGCTGTTAACTCTTTCACAACCAAACAACTCACCTTTTTTTTTCTAGAGGAGGGCCTCCGTTTAAATGCTTCTGTCCAAGAATGTTTCTGTTAAACTCTTTCCTCTTCTTTTCTCCACTCCTGGAATGCCTCACAGCGTCAATGTAAGAACTCTTTCAGAGCTAAATATTTACCGTTTTTAGGCTAAACCTTTTAGACTATAAGGGGCTGATTAAATAATCTCTTAGGACTGAAAGAGTTAATGTCAAGTGTAACACTAACAGTCAGTGAGTGCCAGAGGGAAGAACACTGAGACACTTGGCAGTGGGTGGGTTGGCGGTGAAGGTAAGTTACAATTGCAAGAGTTAGCAATATAAAATTTTCGGTTAGGATCTTGAAAAAAGAGGTTACGGTTAGAGAGGTTTCTTGTTTTGGGGGCACATAAAATCTACCTCATTCAGCATCAAGCAACTTAGCATGCATTTATTAGGGTTTCCCTTACTGGATATTCTTCTTTAACCTTTCAGCTGTAATATTACTAATTCTACTCCAATAGTTACTTCAACTTCTTCTGTCCAGTGTCGGTCTCCATGGAAAAGTAGGCAAGTCGTTTATCTTATGTTTCTGAAGGTCGCAGATTTGTAGGTTCATTTCATGGCTTTGTGTTCAGTTCATGGATTCAACATTTATGTTGATCCCTGGGAATCACTGCCAGAGCTATGGAGTTTTTGCCATGTGTGACACTCATGGCGGCAGCTAGCCAATCTGTGGAAGGAAATTCAGCCCTACGGGATAAAGCCCAGTGCAATGAAGACAATCCTCTCGACCCAGACTGTTATTATTTTAGGCAATGAATCTATAAGACAGAAAAAGCTGAAGACACAGTGGTTGTGGACTCAAAGAGTAAAAACTGTGGTGTCTAGTGTTTTATATTCTTAAAAATGTGTTTTCCAGCATGAGTGCAATATTTGTTAAATACTAGTCTTCAGATAAAATATTATAATGATACAAACTGTATTTCACACAAAAATAATTCTTTTTGGATCCTTCTTTCTAATTCATCCTGCAACTGTGTTCAATTACAGTGGTAATGTGGTTTCAAATTTGAATTTAGGCATACCTTTTTTCCCTTAAAAAACTTACCTTTACTCCCAGGTCGACTTAACCTAAACTTGGTAGCAAGTGATTTCCTGGGAAGTAAAGGCTGCTGGCGTGATGTTGACCACATCTCCTGCTACAAAAATTTGAGTCAGCATCTTTGGCCAATTGCATAAAAAAGAATCCTTTCCTCAATTTTTTTTTTCAGTCATAGTCCTAGCCTTCAGTGGATCTCACTATTAACTTTTTTGAGGAACCAGGCCTGCATTCACTTCATGATTTCTATAGCAAACAGTTATTTCCAGGAGGTCCAATAAACTGATGCCAGTAGTCATTGTAGGTACTGTGATTGGTGAGGTTTATTATTACAGCACACCGGACAGATCCATAGGTGCTCTGATCTCCTCCTCAAAAGCTCCACAACAGACTAATGATGCCTGTTCTGTGCTGACAAATCAAACGTCTTGTATGTTGGATGAAATTTTCATTTCTCGCAGCTTCAGGTTGCACCCCCATGTCCGTCAGCCTGGGGATTTGGAGTCCTGCTTTTTTTTTCTGTTTTCATCTTCAGGGCAAGTACAGGACAAGGCTTTTATAACATCAATAGAGTCCAGTATTGGATCAGCCATAGCAACTGCAGTGTCTGCAAGATAATCTGCTTGCTAGTTACCTCAAACACAGGCATAAAGATAAATATCAGGCCAGCCATTCTCGAAGTTATTATGCGGGACTCAGTTATGAGGTACTGACTGCTGCTGCTATGTCTTTCAGTATCTGAAAGAACCCATTTTGTGCCACTGATGCATTAGACATCTAGAATGCCACATGTTCATTCCATAAATAATTACACAGCAAATAAGTTCCATAAAACCTACCTTCATATGCTTGTGATTTCTAAAGTTCCGATTATTTGTGAAAAAACAACGATCATTTCCACATGACCTCGATTTGCCAGGTTCTCCTGTAAATTCTGTCCACCACAAAATGATAGGGTCAGTTACGTTAGTGGCATCTACGGTCTCATATTTCTTACTGGTCTTCACTCTCTGCATCTCCTCTAGCATCTCTTGGTCCAGTGGTATGTGTTCATCTATGGATGTATAACAAGACATACTGGAGTTTGATAATTGGTCAATCATCCTCATCATGCATCGAACAAGTCAATTAGCGCTTGGACCCATCTTCAGTAGATCTAACAGTTGCATGATGACTGATAATACTGGTTCTGAGTTGGTTTATTATTCTGCTCGTGTTGTCAGTCACTACATGTTTTGTTTGATTTACTGAGGATTGGAATGGTCTGATGCGCAATGAAGATGACCTGTCGACTAATTTACTAATTACAAGACATAGAATATGACAATGTATTGGGCACATTCTGAAGAAAAGTGAACAGAGAATACTTAAATGGGTACTTAAACAGGAAACAAATGGATTTAGGAAATGATGCAATCAAAAAGAAACACTAAGACAAACACTGATGAGACAGGCCAAAAGTGCTGGACTGGATTCCATCCATGATAATGAAACAAGTGCACAAGATAAAGTGGAATGGAACAATAAACTGAGAGCCTTATGTGACAGACGTACAAAAGGTGCAACAGGATAATAATGATGATGTTTACTTCAAAGAATATTTCCTGCCACTCAATTTAGGCTGGGTCAACCAGAGATCATTAAAAAAATTCCATCACATAACAGTATCTTCCTTCTGCCTTCAACTCTCTACTGGAGCATGCCAGCTCTTTTGTCTTTATTTATGTTTATGGTTGACTGGATTTTACAGCTGGAGTCTTCTAAATGATGAAGTACAACCCTCTTTTGTTGCCTCTAATGACAGGTACAGAAGGTTCTTGAACTGTGAGTGGTTTGCTGCTTGCCATCAATAGGAGCAGACTGATATGCAGGTTCAAGATATGATGCCTACAATTCATGTAAATCCAGAGGCTCCTCTGGTCCCTGCTTATCTATGAGGTATGGCTTAATTGAAAGACCATTCCAAGTGTTGGAGTCTGCAAAATCCAGCAAATTTGTTTTTGTACTGCATATACTATTGAAAAGCAGCAAAAAATTGTCCCCAGAAGACTTCATCTGATTTGCACTGGCACAAGAATGGAGCAAGTATGGGGAAACCTAATTGCAGTGATGTTGAAACCTCGATTACGACTAAGACTATAGTTGGTTTCTTCACACTACCTAGTGGTGTCTAATTGTCCCCAGAAGACTTCATCAACTGGTTCCATTTGTCTCTCATGGCAACTCTGAAGGGTTTGTTAATGCTGACATCAAATGGTTGAATCTTAGTGGACACAGGAATTCATAATGTAACAAGTGCAAAACAATGAGCACGAAAACTAGCACAAAAACTATTACACTAGGAAATAACTTGTAATCTTATAGTTTTGTTTTCCATGTTGTCCCAGAACTGGCATTCCCAAATGAAACCCTGTACAGTATATTCTTGATGACTTTCCAGATGAAAATGTTATACTGCGCTATGAGGAGGCATGGGACTCACATCCCATGGCGATGGCGAGTGTGATTAGCCAGACGCGCCCACGTTAAGAAAAGTCTTACACTATTACAGAAAGGGATTTAAGGACCATTGTTGTTAAAATTTGTATTTAGTCTTGTTTCTTCTCAGACGCTTAGATCTCATCCTGTCTGCAATCATTTCCACTTTCATTCTCATTCCTTTCCTGGTGTGCCCCCTCAACACAACACTGTCCATGGCATTTTGTTCTCACAATTCCACCTCAACACCTGTATCATTCATGTCCAGCTTGCACACATCTTTATCATAGTAGAGGTCGGCCTCGACATCTTCTACCCCTCTTTAATTGCACATAAAGGATGCCTTTATGGACTCCGCCATCCTTCACTCTCCAGGTGTGACCTAGCCACCTGAGCCTCCATAGGCTGAGCACTGAAGACTGAGACTGTTTGTTGTAATACCTGCTATTTCCAATACCTCAGTGTCTGTGACCTTATCCTGCCACTTAATGCCAAGGATTCTTCTTAGGCATTGCATATGAAAGCTATTTAGCCGTCTCTCCTGGGGTGAATAAGCTGACCAATTTTCACTGCCATAAAACAGAGTGCCGAGAACACAAGCCTAATAGACAAGAGTTTTTGTTTTAATCGTGAACTTCCTGTTCTCCCAAACTCTTTCTGTTAATCTGCTCATTGTTGTTGCTGCCTTACCTATCCTGGTGTTGATTTTTTTGTGTGTGTGTGGGTCCAGCGATAGTTTGTTATTCACTGTGGAACCCAGATAGGTAAAATGGTCAACTGTCTCCAGCTCGTCAATGTAGACTGCGGGTCTATCATTAACAACCTGCACCATAACCTTTGCCTTCATTTTACAGATTGTTAGTCCAAATTCCCAGCATGCATCAGCAAATGCAGATAGTAAATATTGCATTTCCTCCTCTGAGTGGGTGGTTATTGCTGCACCATCTGCAATCAGCTGCCCTCTGATATGTACCTTTCTTATCCTGGTTTTGGCCATCAGCCTATGGGCATTGTAAAGGCTGTGGTCAGATTGAGAATGGATGAATATACCACCCTCCTGATCTTGAAAGGCATGTTCCAGAAGAAGTAACAAGTAGATTCCAAAAAGGGTAGGAGTAAGTACACACCCCTGCTTCACTCAAAGGTTGATTACAAACTCCTCCCATGTTACACTATCAAAGCTGATTGTACCTTTCATACCTGTGTAGAACAACTCAATAATGCTCAGTAGGGTAGGTGGACACCCAATCTTCACAGCGTTGAACCAAGACTGGCTCTAGCTGATGGGCCATGCTGCTGATGTTACGATATGTTTTGAGCTTTTTAACAAACCAAATCAAATGCCTTGGTAATTCTACTACCATTGTATGAGACACACTGTTTTTAAACCCAATATTTAATGCTATTCAGTCTAAAGATTAAAGTTTACTAAATTAGTCACACCAATTAAGACCTATTTGCAATAAGTTGATTAACTGCATACAGTGTGTAAACAAGACCACTAATTATTTCCTAACAGTTTATTTATGTGTTGAAGACCGAAAATATCTTACGATTCTCTTCTGGTTAATAAATTAATCATGGACAGCATCATCAGAATCCAATTATAACCTATTCATTATAAGCTGCAACTGACAAGGAATAATTAATGCATGCAATGTGCACAATAGACCTCAAATAATTTCCCATTAGTTAACTAATTTTGTGAAGACAGAAAATATCTTACGATCATCTTGAGTCTCATCAATAAATATATCATAGATAACATCATCAGGGAAATCCTCATCCTCATAGGAAACCTGGGGGTAAAAAGGAGGTATTCTGTGAATCAAAAGTGTTTGATGTTAAAAACATAAATATCAACTTTAAGGCAGCTCCATGGTAAATCATCATCATCCTTTTGTGAGAGCATATGTCAAACAGAGCTCCAAGTCTATTCTTCCACTGTGTTCTGTCATGTGTTATGGTTTCAAAATTAGAGATGGAATCCAGTCAGGCACCTTTGGCCTTTCTCATCAAAATTCACCTAGGATCATACGTGCACCCCACACCACTTGGCTACTGAGTTTTATTTTATGGCTTCCTACTTTACAAGTTTCTGTAGCACACTTCTTTTTACATGGTGGGGAAGATGACCCCATGCCCAACCCTCCTCCTTTCTCATTCAGGCGGAGACTAGGCCCATACACAGATCTATGCAAATACTGCAATTAAAAGATAAAGTATTAGGTGCTCACATATTCTAGATACCAAAATAATAAGTTGTGGTTTTGTGATTAGCATTCACTGGCTGTAAACTGTGGCAGAAAGTCGTGGTTGGTCGTTCACATTTGGAGGCTGGTCTTGTTCCAGGACTTAAATTTTGCGGGCACATCTATTTTACAGACCTGGCTTACTGTATGCAGACTGTTGGTTCATTATCTCTCAGGTAGATGTGTTCTGACTTTAACAACAGGTCAATCTTATCTAAATCCCAGATATCCAGATCTTATCTAGCAGCCAAAAAGTATAATGTTTTAGGATGATCACGGAAAGGTGTAGATGGGTTCTAACCAGTCTGAGCCCTTGTCCCTCATACCACCACAGGTGGTGATGCACCTATGCATCCCTGAATCATCAGTGATGACAAGTCTACTTTTACACCACCTCAAACTAATATAACTGCAATTAACCCTCTGGAGCAACGCGGCCAAAATATTGGCCCAATGCAAAGTAGCCAGAAGTATGGCTGGGCTGATCGGTCGGCCCTGTGTAATAAAAGCCTTGATATTGGCTAGCAGGTTTTCGCATCAGCCAATCAGACTGCTTCTCGCATTTCTTGCACATCTGGGCTGTTCACTGACGGCTTTAGAGAAAGTTTGATGTGTTCTGTAATTTTACATCCATTTTTTTTCTGGGGTTACTTCGAAAAGAACTTTAGTATCATAGCAACTGAAACATAGCTGGAGGTAGGAAAATGAGTAGAACCATGTGCAAGACGTGCCTGAAGGGCCTCCAAGGACCTTACTTCCCAAAATACAGGTGTTAGGACTTATTCAAGCTTCAACCATTAAAAAATTCACCTACATTTTCAGGTTAATAAAATAGTTAATTTGGCTATCCTCCGAATAACGGCCACATATTATGGCAGCCAAAAACACACCGAAAGGGCCTCAATCACATGTAAATTGTGGACTTCTTTCCGGCGAATATACCGTAGCAAAACTATGATAAATTTTCGGCATCGATGTCCCAAAAGGCAACAAACTTGCCACCGAGAGTTTCCCCTGTGTAACGCATAGCGTGGCCTGGAGTGGGGCTAGACTAGATGGTGCAGTTTGGGGCTAGACTAGATGGCTGGTACTCACGAGCAGCAGCTAACGCATCTTGCAGCTTCCTCATTTTATTTGCTAGTGAGTCCCAGCCATCTAGTTTAGCAGACATCTGCGGGGGATACTCTCGCAGGTGAAAACTGTTACCAATGCGGCACTGATCATATTTAGCTGAGTTTCAATGGCGCCACAGCCACAGATTTTCGGGCACCGTTTGCAGCTTCTGTGCCACTATTGCCAGATATAAAAGCTTAAATTATCGCCAAGTAGTCGATTTTGTAATTTTCCCTGTTTTTCATTCCTAATTATTATTGAGTTCAAGTTTTTGAATGTTTACAACACACGACCTAGTGAGGCCCTGTCAGGGTGTGTTTTTGGCCGCCATATGTGGCCATTATTTAGAGGATAGCCGTTAATTTGAATAAATGTTGAGATTTCAGTTTGATTCATAAATATTTTGTTAGTTCATTCAATTTTCCACATAAATATATTTACAGTTTTGTATATGTTTATTAAACACTATATTTTTTATCATTTATGTTTGTGTGTATAAACTATAAGAATCACCTTCTGAAGGCTACGTCTTCTTGGCACAGAAACTCTAAAAAGGTTCCGCCTCCAAAGGGTTAGCACTAATAAACCTGGATTACTTATACTTGCAAATAAGTCACTGTCTCTTATTACCAGAACAAAAATTTCTAAAACTATTCTTATAAATTTTTTTTTTAAATATGATCAAATTATTTGCATCCCCAACACTCTGTTTTAGTGCCAATTTTTTTTTTTTTTTTTTTTTTAATGTTCAATTGTAGTATATCATCAGCTAGTATTCTTTCCTCTTTATGTTCAGTATCCTAAAACATTGTAATACTAAAGTGTTTAAAGCTGTGGCTATATTCTTTAGTGAATGTGAAATGGCACATCCATAAGTGATCTGGTAAATCCATATGGTGTCAGAGGAAAGGTGAATATTCTCAAAATATCCCAATTAAAAAAGATAAGAAAATCAGATTCCACCAAGAGCTATCCTCCGAATAACTGCCCCAAATTATCGAGGCCGAAAATATACCCTAACAGAGTCTTAGTCACATGTAAATTGAGGACCTCTTCCAGCGACTACACAGCACATTGTGAAAAAGCTTCCGCCGAGTTAAAGTCACTGCTGAGAGTATCTCTCGCGCTGCTATGTGTGGCGCGTAGCGGGGCTAAACTAGATGGCTGGGACTCACGAGCAGCAGCTACCGCATCTCATGCAGCTTCCTCTATTTTGTTTGCTCGCGTGTAGCGGCGCAGGAGATACTCTCGGCGGTGACGGTTTAGTCGCCGAAAAAGTCCGCAATTTACATGTGACTGAGACCCTGTTAGGGTATATTTTTGGCCTCGATATTTTGGGATCGTTATTCGAAAGATAGCCTCCACCAAGGACTTTAGTTCAATTTGACCTGTTACTGTTACACATAATTAAATTAAATTATCGGCTATCCTCCGACTAACGGTCGGCAAAGATGGCGGCCGCAAAATAACCTTTCGAGCCACAATCGCGTGACAATTGCACACTAGCGGTCACGAGCACACCGCAGCTGCTGCTTGTGGGTCCTAGCCATCTAGTTTAGCCCCATTCCACGCCTCGAGAGCAGCGTGGGAGACACGTGGCGTAGGCGATAGTCGCAGGAAAACCGCAGATTAAGTCATGCGAATGTGGCTCGAAAGGATATTTTGCTACCGCCATCTTTGCCGACCGTTAGTCGGAGGATAGCCAAATTATCCATACAACCAATACTTTTTCATCAGGAAGGTTATAGCTTTGTCATGTTGTAGCAAACAAATTCTGCTCAAAATTAATGCTGTCCAAACATCAGAAAAAATGTGGTCTTGAAAGAGTTAATTACTAAATTTATTAATTCCATAGAAAACCAAATTACAGAAAATATGGCTCTCCTTTCAACTTAGGCCGTTAGCTGGAAAGCCGCCGATCGCTTAGTGGGAGTTCTCTCCCTTGGCTGCATTGCAAACACGGAGCGGAAAAGTCATAAATTAAAAAAAAGACAGTGTGGTCGACAACAGGACTGCCAATGCTTGGGTGTGTTCCCCAGATCTGGGTGTTTAGTTGATGCTTCGGGGAAATCTTGTTTTTTTTTAAAAAGTAAATATATCCTTATATAAACATGGTATTAGTTGCCACGGATGTGACTCCTGCAGATCTGTATGACTCACTGACCGATAAATTTGCGTGGTTAGGGGTAGGGTTAGGGCTAGGGCTAGGGTTAGGGTTAGGGTTAGATGTGACAATTTTGATGCAGGAGTTCCGAATAATCGCGCACAGTCACATACACACCCAAACAATCGACGGACTGTGGATGCTACTCAAACGGACAATTCGCCACCGACTGGGCACCAGCCGCGCGCTATCGCCGTCATATTTGGGAGAATTCCAGTGGCGCCACTTCCACAAGCATCAGATTGTCTGCCAGTATATGGAACTCCTACGTCAAATTTGTCACATCTAACCCTACCCCTAACCCAAACCCTAACACCGCTAACCCTATCCCAAACCCTACGCAACTGTATGATGACTACGCAACCGTACACGCAACTGTATGATGATAGGTAAGTATGTCATTTGATTCGTGACTTTTCCGATACGTGTTTGCAATGCAGCCAAGGGAGAGAACTCCCACTAAGCGATCGGCGGCTTTCCAGCTAACGGCCTAAGTTGAAAGGAGAGCCGATTCACAATCACAGAACATTAAAGTAATTGTTAATTTGCACCAGTTCATCTCTAAGAAAGCAAAAAACCTGCTTACCAAATAGCCTATTACAGCCCAAAATATGAAAACAGTAAATACGAAAACAAGCCATTTAAAATATCTTTTTCTGTACAGGCGTCGCAAAAACATTTCGATGCTACACAGCGCTTCTGATCTGTGACTGCAGTCCGTCGTCTGTTGTTGGTTGACCAGTTTCAGAGTTACCTGCCCCTTGAAATAAAATGTTTGAATGTAAATTGTCGTCGAAACGAAGTACTATAGTAAATCTAGTGTGAGTCCCAATGCCCTGTGCGTGTTTGTGTGTATGAGTGTGTGTATGTGTGTGTCTCCCCCCCCCCCCTACCCAATAGAGCCCATCTGCTTGACAGGCGAGGAAACAAGAGTCCAAAAGGATGTACACGCATAACTCAAGTTCTGGAACAAGACTAAAAGTCCAAATGTAGACGAACAACAATAACTTTCAGCCGGAGTTTACAACCAGTAAAAGCTAATAATAACAAGAGAAAGAAAAGTAGTAGTAGTAGTATAGTAGTAAGTAGTAGTAGTAGTAGTAGTAGTAGTAGTAGTAGTAGTAGTAGTAGTAGTAGTAGTAGTAGTAGTAGTAGTAGTAGTAGTAGTAGTAGTAGTAGTAGTAATTAGTAGTAATAGTAGTAGTAGTATAGTAGTAGTAGTAAGTAGTATTAGTAGATACGAGTTTCCCTTATTCCTTCACTTTTCCTTAGTCCATCCCAAGTACAGTGCAGTGGTCATTAATGTCCTCATGCATTTGTTTTTGAATACATTTAATTTTCGTACCATACAGCAGCTTTCATCAGAAACTGCAATACTGGCCACCGTGAACAGCACACCTTACCAAATTACTTAAGCCGCACCCCTGTGGGATGTAATTTTTTTTTTAAACCCCCACGCTGGATTTCGCCGAGGGCCCCAAATATAGCCGGGCCCTAAATACGGCCTAACAGCTTAACCGGGTTTACGGGAACCTCTCCACGGGGAACCTCATCCGCATGGTGTCACTTTGTGTCACCGGGTGCTTGTCGCTCGTGTGATGTCCTGGTGGGTTACAACTTACCTAACTACAGCACACCACTTGGTTGGTTAGTTTAGCAAAATGACTTTCGTTCCTGTGAATTTGTTTAGTAATTAAGTTTAATGAGTTCAGTTGTTGTGGATACTAAGTTATTTCGGCGTTTGTGGCTTAGGCGTTGTGAATGCACGTCTAATTATGTGGTGCTGGGTTCGATTGCAGCTTCGGACGATTTGGCAGCAGATCGCCTTACAAGGTCCGACAATTAAGTAATGCGACTAATTCCATTAATAATCAACAGTTAAATATATAACCTGTATTTTATTCAAAGTAAGCACCTTATGCAATGTTACAGTGAGTAGCACAATCTAACAAACACTGGAACGACTTTTGCAATTCTTCTGTTGCTTGTTTATTGTGATCGATTTTGTATAGCTAGCATAAACTGTTTGTTCTTTTCTTACCAACTTTTTCTCTTACCTGTGATTTCCTACCCCTTTAAAAACTTCTGTTGCTATGGCCCCTAAAGTCAATGTTACGGCCCTTTGGATGTCATCAATATCGAATAGAAGCATCCTTTCAAATGTAACTTTAATTTTAGAAATAGAAACTAATCACAGGGAGACAAATCTGGGAAATAGGGTGGATGGTTGAGAATACACACCTGTTTTGGGGCCAAAAATTTCGTATTTGAAGATGTCTCCCGGGTACTCAACTTGCTGATGTCTTTAGTCATCAGACAACAAATGCGGTACAAACCCGCAAGCAACGTTTTGGGGCGCCAAAATCTTGCACTAAAATTTTACGAATGGTCTCTCTATTAACATCAAATTCATCTGCCAGTATCTTGACAATAAAACAACGATCTTCTTGTGTTCGTTCTCTGACTTTTGCTATGAGTTTCATCATTACAAACAGAAATCGGAGGTCCAGGTCTAGTTGCATTAATGATCATTTCCACACCACTTTTAAATCGTGAATATAACCTAAAAATCTGTACACCAGACAAACAATTATCCCCATAAACTTGTCGCAACTGTGTCAATGGCGCTTTTTTCGAGTTTTAAACAGAATTTAATGTTAGCTTTTTGCTCCATGCTGATTTCGTAGCAATGCACATCTAGCTAGGTCATTAAAAATGATGGCTTGTTTGTCGTCTGCTTATCGGGCGGCAATGCAAAGTTGCCAGATCATATATGAAGGTTGCCTCTTTGGATTACATGCTTTGCTTTATAGATGGCACTTTTGTCTTGGTCGTAATAAAATTAGTCTCATTACTTAATTGTCAGACCTTTTACGTTGGTTTCAACAGTAAGAATGGCAAACTACTGAACATAAAAATCTGCAAAGTGGAATCACAAACTGCCAAACAAATTCTGGGGTTGGTTCTGTAACGTTCTGTAAAGGACACGCAATTTAAAACTTTGTTTTATTGGGCAGAGGAGCTGACCCCATCAATCAATCAATCAATGCTGATCGCGCCCAGAGGCACATGAGGCAAAGACCAACTGTCGCCACTCAGTTCAGTCCTGAGGCAGATGACCTCATACCTAAACCTTTTCTGTGCTTGAGACCGGCAATAGTGGAGAATTCCAACTTATGCTTTCATCTGTTTTTAGCACTATGAATAAAAGTTTATAATATTTCCAGATCTCTTGGCGGGTACATAAGGCAATCTATATATTTTTTTTTAAATGACTCACTAGGACGTGGATGGGGTGTCTAGAGACTGGGGGTTTAAGGCTACCACAAATTGTGCTGGTTATGACTTTTTATTTTGCTCTTGACAGAAAAACACATTTCCATTAACTTACCAAGGATTTTAACTGGAGTCTCCTGCATTTAAGCCTGGAGTTTTAACGTTTCGTCAGCTACTCCCTATCCATTTGGGTACTCCTCACCCTCTGAGCCAACCGTTTCAAATCTATTCGACTACTCCTCGTCCATTGGACCAGCCCTTTTTCATCCATTCGGCCAGCTGCTTCCTTCTGCCATGTCTAATCTCTCTAGAATAATATGACTTGAAGTGGCAGTGATACATACTACAGATATCAGCAATCCCTAAGTATTCACTTTATTCAACTTGTTCCCTGCATAAATGTATATACAAAAAATGAACACACAGCAACAGTTACACGCTGGTGCGCCGACCGACCTGTTTCACCACACACTTGATTTGTGTAACAACAACATGCAAAACAAAATGTAAAACAAATTACTGGCACAGGATGACAGCGGGGTGAGCTCAATAGTTATTAAAATAGTTTACTTGTGTAGCTGTGTAATGTTAACCAACAGGATGTTTATAAGTACCGTACTGTCACGTGTACGTGTTGTAAGTACGTCCGTGATACATTATACTTGTCCTTTCTTCGGTTTTCAAACTTTCCGGTATGAAACATATATTAATTTGAACCAAGCAAGGAGAGGAAACGTGGGATTTATTAACATCAGTTTAGTAAGAAGTTACAAAGGTTGATATTTCTGTTATTAAAGTTTCTAGCTAACAGCAAAACATACCTCGACTTATCAGGGATCGATTTCCTCGTCGGGGCAAAATATATATATATATATAAAGTATAAGATATATATATATATATATATATATATATATATACTATGGATATGGCAATATATATATATATATATATATATATATATATATATAAAGTATCAAGAAACCATAAGTTGTTAACCCTTTAGCTCGGTACTATGGATATGGCAACCCTTCGGTCTTGATTCCATGATAGATACCGTAAATCTGGGAGAAATTGGCTTTTCTGCTTACCCCCGGGCGTGAACCCGGACCAAAAGGAGTTGGTCACCCGGTCGCCGCGCAGTCCGGTTTAGTCGGGCTGCGGTTTATATAAAAACAGTTCTCATGGCTTTCTGAAAATGATAAGAGAGACACACCGTGAAAGAGATTAGGACCCTCAACACGCATTTTCCAACTGTAAGTAAGTAAGTAAGTAAGTAAGTAAGTAAGTAAGTAAGTAAGTAAGCAGAGGACACTTTTCTCGCCTTTTACGCATTGGGTAGACGGTACTAGACTAATATTTTTATTGACCAGTCGGAAATCCATGTGTTATATCATCAACATCACGCCGCTACCTTTACCTCCAGGTGCCAGTGGCGAGTCGTGGTCAGTTCGATATGCATTAGCAGGTAGCGATCACAACTGAGAGCAGATCACGTTATATTGTTCTCGCAGCCTGGCTGTTGCGAGTATGCGTACGCCACTGACAGCTAGTTACTAAAAACTGGTAGCTTTCACATGTTGGAGTGCGTTAAGCATGCGGAGAACGTTCTATTCGAGACTCAAAACGAGTAGCGTATGTACAATAAATAGTAAACAGTAACTATAAATAGTAAATAGCCACTGTCTAGTACCAGTTTTAGAACCACACGTCAGCAGTGGGAACAACAAATTCACATCATCCAACCTTTATTGTGAAGATGGTACACACAAAGCAACCAACGCCCTTATGTTGAAGGCAGGGTTGGCATAGAGCGCTAGCATAGCCTACTTGCCTGCCGTCTTGATGATTTTGTAGGAATTCACATTAAAGCAGGCATTCGGGAAACATCCACCTTGGTTCGTAGGTCTGTTCGGGGCGGATAAGGAAAAGGGGGGGGGGGGAACTTAGGTCTCTACGGGCCCTCAAAAACTGGAGATGAGGAGGCTTGTTACACTCCCCCCCACCCCCCCACCCCCGGGTTGGTTTAAATAATTAATAACACTATTTTCCAGATTTGCAATTGTGTCTTGTTTAGATATACCGAAACAGTCTAATTTCAAAGGAGAATAACTAACAAGAGAATTATAACTAGTCTGTTTCACAGAACCACAATCACTAACGACGCATTAAACGTTACGGCTAGAAAACCTTCATCAGCATACAACGTAAACGAACAAAAATACCATTACTTGTTTAGATAGGTGCTCTGTAAAAATAACGAATAATGCAGAACACTAGCAAATGTCTCCCCTTTTTTCCTAAACGCGGGCATTTCCGTGTGGGTTCCGGAGCACCATAATGGGGGAAACAAGAATAGACCCATTGCCTCATTAACAAGCATGTCATAAAAATTAAACCAATGA